GTAAATGTATACGAGAGCGCGCCATGTTTATTTATTATTACTGTGTGGTCTACCCTGCACTATCTTCTTGAATATGGTATACAAACATAATGGTACTCTTTTTTAGTGACGCGTGGAATCGTTTAAATTGTAGTCGCGTCAAATCGGCTTGTGGCGACTTTTAAGTCTTAAAAGACGTTTCCATTACATTCCTTTAAAATCGCCATTCTTTTTTTAAAAAATACAGCAATATTACCCTTCTATTTCCCAAGAATACGAGACTTGCTGTTTCGGGTCGAGCATAATAAACTGACTACATTTGCGCGCGCACGGGTTTTCATGGCTAAAAGACTATAGAGGAAAGCTCTCTGATGAATGGAAAACTGAATGTCAGTTAAAGAATAATGACTATCATTCAACGTCCAATTAACGAGTCCGCAATCCATGAACCGAATTCTTTTCATTCTGGACAGACACCCACCTGTCGTGAAACAAATGTACTGACTTACCTGTATAGTAAAAGGGGCCAAGCAAAGATGACATACCGATCCCCGCCACAAATGCGCTAACAGTAATGGAATCATAGAACGCWGTCAGTGACATGAGCGTAATCTCACTCGTAGACACACCAGCCTCGATGATACTGACACCAACCAACCGCAAGGGAATCTTACTTGAACAGACAAGAAACAATAAACCAGTGACAAAAAGGAAAACAATGATGATAATTTTGACTCCATACGGGATAGCCTGCATGACCCATGGTACTGTCAGCTTCATGGACAGAACAGACAAAGCGATAGAAAGAACTACAGTAGTGGTRGCGATGTTCGAGCCGGCTAGAACATCCTGTGCTGCAACTAGAGTTATTTCGTCGTAAACCATGGTCAATAGGCCAAAGAARAAAAAGCATATTACAGTTCTTGGTTCACTGCCTTTACTTCTGGACTCCATGAAAACCGTATCAATAACGTCAATAATAGCAGTTTATATCTCGAATTTCTCCAAATAACTTTAAAGCAAAATGACTCGTAGTTCAAAAGACAAAAATAATCCAAGTTTCCAGTGAATCCTCGATGACCATACTAGATTTTTTGTAAATTTGTTTACCGGTATTTTCCTTTTACGACCTGCTGACTCAAAACATCAATCACACTTTAAATAATTACACGATCAACCAACACAGTAACAACAAATAAAGAACTCGGTCACGCTTATTCTGAATTTCCCCAGTAACGTTTAATTTCTTTCTCAATTGTTTCGCTAAAAATCGCGCCAAAGGTATGTGAAAATGAATTTGTGGGAAGAAAAGAACTTGTACTTGATTTATGATGGGGTCCCTGTGGTATGAGGAATGTAAATGACGTCATTGGTTATTTTAATCTGTGACCATAGGCCGAGGCAGCCTGGTGTTGGATCATCCAAAATGGCGTCTGGTCGAAAATGCCTCTCATTTTACGCATAGAAAAACTAAATTCACGCGATGAAAAACTCACTCAATACTGTTAAAAATCAACCCACGAGTAGATATTAATGTGGTGGTTTGTGGCTGTAGAAGAATAAGCACGAGAATGAATCAGGAAGCATTACCAGCGGGCTGGGAGATGAAGGTTGACCCGAAAAGTGGTCGACCCTTCTTTATCGATCATCAGACAAGAACCACATCATGGAACGATCCCAGAAACTTAAAATACARTAAAGTGAGTATTACAGCGTTCCTATTAGAGACATGGTGTTARGGTTTATGTATTATTGGCGGAGAAGTTAAATGTGAGTTTGTTTGGTCMTGTATGCCTAACAAAAGTAAGCTTACATAAGTTAATAGTTCGCATTGTATTTGTTCACAATGTCATGATAAAATGCGTTTATACTTATTTATAGCGATGTACGAGAATGCTGTACAAATATCTGTCACTTTAARATATTAAGTAATATTATTACTTATTWATTGMATTTAGTCCAACTTTGTTCAATAGTTGRCGTCACCTGAATCAACTAAATCACGTGCCAACAGTCTGWAAATCAGGGGGAGAAAACGAAATTGTAATCRAGTGTCTCTTCWCCCATTCTCTGATAAAGTAAACCCCCGGATTCCCATGACCGTTGTTTTGGCACATGTTTACTATATTTATCAACAGTGTGACAATATATTTCAAARCAGCTCTTATTGATATTAATTTGTTAAGAGGTTGTAGATGCCTGTTGATCAATAGGGTTACATGTAGTCCAAAGCTTTTTTTAGCGGTCATTCTTTTAAAAAACCTTATTGATCAGCTTAACTATAGGCCAACTTAAATGTGTTAACCTGCGTAGCAGCCCATTTGGCCCATTTGGGCCGCTATGCAGGCTAAAATGTATGCACAAAATGGTTAGAAAATGTGCATTGCAGAAATGATGGTGTTTTAATTTGAATAATTGACGACTCTTAGAACTGCAGTGTATGCGGGCTTAGCCTCAAATCCAGGAATTGCTTGTTTTGTTATTCTAATTTCTGCTTTTGTTTACCTACCTCAGAAGTGAGGCTAAGACCACATACACTGGAGTTTTAAGATTCGTCAATAGATCAAGGATGTATAGTATTGACTATGCACTCAATTAAACATGATTGTTTGAATCTTTTTAAAGAAGGAACCTCATTAAAAAGTAGTTTTGGAATATGGAAAAATGAGTGAAAATAGAATAATCAAATATTGATTCAGTTATCTTCTTGAAGTTATGTAATAGATTACAGTATGGAATGAAACTCGGTTAGTAAAAGGATTAYGGCTAAAAGTACCAGCTTTATTAACGTGTAGTTTTTAAGATGTGTTCATGTGTATATATTACCTTACTAACTAAAAAGACTGAAAGCCATATTTTCCCTTAGGCTAATGGTTAGTTTTGACAGGGAGGTGGAAGGGAAGCTCAGGCTATTTTGCTACTAACCCACATGATTGAAGCACAGAATACTGCTGACTTATTAGCTAGCTGTATCAAAACTAAATAAAAAATATCTGAATTACAAAAGATGGGGATCTTAGAAATATTTTTTAATCACTCATTTATATATTACTTCTAACTATGGAGAGCCCGGAGTTACAGTCTCAGCTGCTAAGCCATGAATCTATGCAGGTACTCTTGTGCAAGTTTGCAAAGTTTGCACTTTTCGAGAGACATAAGAGAAGACAAAAAAAACAACAACAACAACAACAAACAAAAACAACAAACAARCAAAGGCATTTTACTTTACAAGCTGTTGTAAATTTTAACTCTCAATAGTTGAAAAGTTCCACTACTTGGGATATCAGTCAAAAGCAAAATTTTATTTTATTTTATTTTATTCTAAACTTTATTTRCACACTTCAAACAAACACTTTGTATAATCATATAATATCTTAGTTAATATATGATTTCAATAACTTAGAAATGAATGGCGTATAAAATCTTTGGTGAGGATTACAATATGCTATTGACCCACAATGTCAGAGTTGACCTAGTTATCTTGATTTCAAATGAAGATGATTAGMAAAATGTTTATTGATAGGTTAACATGGATCCAGACATGGTAAGGTCAATGCAAGGGCCAGAAAGTCCCATGGAACATCCTCAGAACGCATCTAGCATTCAACTACAAACTCTAACTTCAAGTATGCTACAGTTTAACTTAAACCAGAATAAGCAACAACCTTATTATGTGACTTCAATGGAAAAACCACAAATTTACCAAGATCCTCATGCGTACATACCAGTACCTCCGCAAGAGAATAGAAGCAATGGTGCAGGTTTCCAAGGMAACCAGTATTCCTCACCTGAAACTTATCGAAAGACACAGCCAATGAATAAACATCTGAAACTTGATCAACAAMGACCATGTTTTGATTTACCTCACTCAAACTTTCAAGCCTGGCTTAATGTCAACCATCCTCAGTCATCAACGAGGGATAATATTGGAACAAACAGTCGATTTGRTACTAATTATACATCTGCTGCTAATAACAGTGAATCTGAGGGGAAATTAAAACAATTTAATGCTAACAGTTATGTAAAAGATGAAGGAAAATCACCAGCAACTCATTATGATCAAGGCCCAAAAGAGTATACTCACCAGTGGCAGCTGAAGGATTCTAATTCCCATTTACAAWATAAAAACATTTTGCCATCACATTTGATGCAGGTAATATAAAAATAACACAAACATTTAAAGAATAAAATCATTCCTCTAAAAAAATAATTAAAGTACCATAATCATTTGCATTTTTTTTCCATCTTTTCTCCCATTTTCGATTCATTTATTTCATTCAATAGTAAAAGTTATTTTCAATTCATTTATTGATTCATTTATAGCATGATAAATACAATACAATATGTATTATACAATACAATACTTATAAAGCACCTATTCTGAAGCTGCTCTAGGCACTGACTATGAACTATAATGATACATGATACAATGATATAATGATACAATGAAAAGAAATTAAAATGGGAATTTCATATAAGAACAATGAGAATTAGCAACGACAAAAAAACTGATTCAAACAAATGAGTTTTTAGAGCAGATTTGAATGAACTTAACAATGATAAAGTGTGTATAAATGAGGGGATAATAAATGTATTAAACTTGTCAAGAGGCAGATCATACAGCTATTATTAAGTGGTTAATAAAATAATGATACTAAGTATATAGTGCTTAGGGTTTTAGTAACTTTTAATGTAAGTGGGTAGCTTAGAAAGTCAGGAGGATAGGACTCTAGCTGTGAAATATCTAGTCTTGAATGTTTAAATGAGGCTTCTGTACCTCCTGGCACAAGGAGTTAGAATAAGTTGATCAAATCCTCCTCTYGGGCCAGCTACAAATGGATATAGTCACTCAATACAAGAGGAAAGTTTATGAATAGACATCAGTTTTGTGTGTCTGTCCTCTTATTGTTTATCYRCATACTACTTTGGCAATGTGATGACACAATTTATCGTCAATAAGAGGACAGACTTAAAAAAGTGATGTCTATTTGTTTTTTACAATAACAAAAACGATAAAAACTTCTCATTTTTAGTAATCAAAACAACCAACGGAAAGAGAGCGCGCTTGTTGACGTAGCTTTATCTGACTGTCCTCTTATTGATGATAAAAAATAACCAATCAGCTCACAAGAAATTTGTTATTGTAAAACTGCTCATTGCTTAGCTGTGAACACAAATAAATAAATAAAGTGTACTAGTAATTATTACTAATACACTTGCCTTTCAATCTTTGAGGTCTCAAGTTTGATATCATTACTCAGATTCACATGTTTTTTGGGATATTCCCCTTGTTTCAAGGGTTTACTACGTTCTTTGGTTTTCTCCTTTCCTAAATTCCGATTGGATCTAGAACTAGATTTAAATCTGAGATCAGTTGATTTTAGGTAATCATAGAAGAGGTTGTATTAGGGTTTTCCATTTGTATGTTTACCATGCCTTGACTTGAAATTGAATAATAAGATATACACTTTAAATGTTCTAATACACTGACTGATTAGTCAATCTTCTTTCTTCTTTATACAGCAGCAACCACAAAGCCCCTCGCAAGTGCACTATAGAGCTCCTGAGTTCCAAACAGGGTATCCCCAAGGGCAGCCACACCCAAGTTACCCCCAGCCACAAGGATTCACACCAMAGGGTAACCAGTACCCACCACAAAGTGCTGGAAGCATGCCTGCTATGCCAGTGCAGTCATATCAATCCACATCAATACCAAATAACCCTGGCAGGCCAGCACAGCAGCAAAGTGATCAAGGCTCCATGCAAATGTCTTATGATATAGGTCCAGTGTCAAATAMCAGAGAAAACCAAAATCCTTCAGTATCTGTAAGTCAAGCTATACCTCCTGSACCWTACTCTCAGCACCAGGGACAGCAGTATCCTACATCAAATGGCTTTTACATTCCAAATCACCCTGGACAAATGCCTGGTCAACCACCTAASAACAGACMAGGAAACCAGGACAACACACCAGTTACTGGACAATCAGTTACCACACCAGTGACTGGACATGCAGTCAGGAGCGAAAATATTCCCTGGGGTTACCAAGGAATGATGCCTGGACAGCATAACCAGGGGAATGGGCCAGTGCTTGGATATTCTGGCCAAAGCGACTCTCACGGGCCACAGTCAGAGCTCTCATCTAGAGACAACTCCATACCACAGCAACAATATGGATTTAGACCTCAAGGTCCCATGAATGAACCACAGCAAACCAGRATGGGTCAAGGATTTTCTCTTGGTGGGGGARGTCCAACCACAGAAGACGGTCAAAGGTCACCAAGACATAGTGTAGAAAACCAACATGCTGATCAAAGTCCTATGCCAACCCCACCTTCAACACCCCAGCAGTACTTACCAGGAAATATGGTGGGAATGACACATGGGCAGGAACCATTCCCAGGAAGTGATCGTTCTCCAAATGTCCAAAACCTTCCTGGGCAACAATCTGGACCATCGAMAACATACCATCAAGRTTACATGCAATATCAAGAACTAAATAGACAACCAGTGGCTACCTCTGCAGGTTATGGTCAACAATCATATAGAGATCAAGGAGGAATGGCCCAGGCACCTAATCAAGGTTCAGGATCAGGCAATATGCCGCAACCRCAAACCATGGAACCAGGAAACGTGCCTCCACATATGTCCATGAAATCAGGAAACATGCCTCCTCCTGGACCAATGGGACCAGGAAATGCAGGTCCCAATCAAAGCATGGGCCCAGGAAATRCACCACCTAACCAAACCATGAGAAATATGTCACCTAACCTACCTGTAGGATCTGGAAATAACCAAGGTGTGGGACCAGGAAATATGACTCAAAATCAGTCCATTGCTCAAGCAAATGCTCCTTACAGACCCTTTGRATTTGGAAATGTGACAACCAGTTACATCTCAGGACCAGGAAACAACTCACCTAGTGGACCCATGGGACCAGGTAACATGCCACCAAACCAGTACATGGGGCCAGGAAATGTACCAGTAAGTGGACCCATGGAAACAGGTAACATGTCACCAAACCAACCCCCTGGACCAGGAAGTGAACCATTTAGGAGACCTGTGGAACCAGGAAACATGTCTCCTAACCAGTACATGGGACCAGGAAATGTACCATTTAGTGGATCCATTGGATCAGGGAACATGTCACCAAACCAACCCCCTGGACCAGGAAGTGAACYATTTAGCAGACCAGTGGAACCAGGAAACATGCCTCCTAACCAGTACATGGGACCAGGAAATGTACCAGTGAATGGACCTAGGGGACCTGGAAACATTCCACCAAATCAACCCCTTGGGCAAGAAAATGTACCATTTAGCGGATCCATGGTGTATCAGAATATGCCACCCAACCAATACACTGGACCAGGGAGCATGCCACCCAATCAATCATCTGGACCAGGAAGCAACCCACAAATTGGTTCCATGGGACCAGGCAATATGCCACCCAACCAATACATGGGACCAGGGAGCATGCCACCCAATCAATCGTCTGGACCAGGAAACAACCCACAAAGTGGTTCCATGGGACCTGGAAATATGTCACCTAACCAGTACAGTGTACCAAGAAATGTACCAGTTAGTGAACCCAWGGGACCAGGAAATATGCCACCCAACCAGCAAGCAAGAAATGGGAACACCCAACAAATACCTTCAAGTCACCCTGGAACGTATCCCATGGTATCATCAGCCAACTATCCACAACAGTCAACTGCCCAGGGAACCAGTAGTGTCAGTCAGMCATCCAGCAGCACTGGATTATATCCTCCATTACCATCATCTACTGGAATCCCTCAACAAACAGATAATGTATCTCAGCGACCAAATCAACCTGGGGTATATCCTGGTTATAGTCCATCTAGTCAACCTGGGGGTTATCCTAGTGGATATCCACAGTATAGGTACCCTCAAGGTCCCAATCAGCCACGGGAATATCCACTTACTAATGTACCTACAAGTTATCATCAACAGCAACATTATCATCATCAACAACWACAACAACCCTCAGAAACTCGACATCAAACTAGCCATGAATCTAACGAATCGAATAGATATCCTAATAAAACAAGTCATGGATCCAACCAATCACGTGGCTATACCAGTCAAAACCGTTATGAATCCAATCAATCATCTACTCAGCCACCCTCATCTGTTTATCCCACTAATACTTCAAGAACTTATAGTGCTCATGAAAATAAGATTAAGAAAGCAAGGATTGAAGCCATTGATAGAATATTATGTATGGCAGAAGAGATGGAGCCCAAAGTGCTAGCATTCAATGGAAGGAGAGGTAGGTAATCTCTTAAAAATCAGTAGACCTTTCTAAATTTTCTTGAGTGGCCACGAAACAATGTACAACTTTATGTGTTCATCCTTGTACTGTATTTTAGGCCAAACAAAAAAATAAGTGTGTTTCCTGTTGCCTGACCTACCCTAATTTTCTTGCCAATTTTTGCCGACTCTAATATTTTTTTCATTCCCAAATGTACTACAGGGTTCCCAGTAAGCTCATTTCCACAGTGTTGTATCAGTAAAAAAAATCCCCCAAATTGAAGAGGCTTATTTAACATAAAGGATATCTATTATTAGAACTGGAATAGACCCATTGTTGTCATTATGAATAATGAATTTGCAACTGTACACCATGAAAATATATAATTCCGTTTCAGGTGATAAAGAGTTCCTGACGATAGAGGAACAGTTGACCAGATGYATTTTAGAACTTGATAAAATTCAGACTGATGGAATAGAAGACATTCGCAGTGCACGGAAATCTTCTATTCGCCGGGTTCAAAGTTTGATTGACACTTTAGAAGGAAAGGCTTAAAATTTTTAAAGAATAGATAGTCCCTGCATGCTTGGGTGCAATGTAAGAACAAACTTAGGGGTGCATACTAAAAGTTAAACTTAAGGTACGAATGATTTTAAATGGACAATATCTGAACAATTTGGCCTATCAATTGAGATAATCAGTATTATCATAGGTTACTCACTACAGCTAGGCTGTAAAGAGGACATTGTGCTCTTTTAGGGGTGGTTTGAAACAAAATAAATCATCAAATTTTAGTTTCTAATTATAAATAATACATAGGAACTAGTGTATAGGTTTTGTGCTATGTATACACTTGTATAGAAGTTTGAGAAAATGAAAAGAGCTCAAACAAATAATGAAGCTGTTTGGGGTGAGGCTGGACCGTCTGATCATCCATGCCTCCCAGCTATAGGCATTGTATAAATCAATAAGCATTTAAAAAGAAAATCAAATTAATTGGTTAACAAGGCTGGTTCCTTAGATATCAAATAACTACAATACTATAAAAGGTGAATCTGACATCCAAGGATCAGATTTTAATCAATCACTCTCATAAATTGCACTTCATAATATTATTCAGGTAGTCATGTACATCTAGCCTGCATAGCAGTCCACTTTGGCCAACTCGTCTCCAGATTTGGGACACTGCCATCTTTCAACCTCATCTCCATTTGCGGCAGCCATGTTTACTCTAATGGGAATGAAAACTTTTGTTTGTAATGACCCACATAAATTTATTCTCAAGAACTTGAATGTGAGGCTACGCATGGGAAAATCTATTTTTCCAGGCAACATGGCTGCTGCATGAGTAAACTAAGAGGACTGTAGGCTCTTGTGGACAAGATTCTTGGCAGAATTGTCTTTTGCAGTTGATATATTTCTAAACAATAGCTCTGCTGAAAATGATTGATAAATGATTATACTTGAGGTTCTATATTATTGCACCATATTGAAATAAAGTTATATTTAAGATAAAATTAAAGCAAAATGTCTTTCACTAGCATATAATTTACCACTGTTTTCAWTGCAAGTTCGCAGTAGGTAAAGATGTACCTATCCCCATGTACCTTTACYGACTTTAACAATTTATTTGATTGGCAGTTGACTATTGTTTATTTACTTGTTACAACTTTTGTCAAGATTTCAGTCAACACGTARCATTGAAAACAGTAGTTATACTTTTACTTGTGTATGGCTAAAAAATATTCAGGATATTATGCTGCTGGAGTCTCCACCACAGCTGTTTTAAGTGTTGTCATGCATGRAGGGAGAGTTGTGTGACCACACTAAGAACGGCTGCAGGGGAGACTAAAGCTACAGGAGCATTGTTCCATTGGTACCATAAAGATGCTCTGCAAGAACCTGGATACTGACTGGGCTCTGATATTGAAAGTTTAGCAAGAATTCACCAGCTGGATTGGTTCATCAAGGAAACCTGGGACTTTGCACAGTCATACCATCCTCATGAAGTGTATTGGGCTTTCTATGGTGATGCTGGTATGTCCACTGGTGTATATCAAGATAATTTGCTTTATACTTGGACAAGAATGGCAAGGAAGGTTTCTTGTTTCTACTCATTCATTATCATACTTTTAAATGGTTACTAGAAATTGTAAACCGAGAGGAAGAGAGTGTGTGAAAGAAAGTAAGAAAAGGGAAAAAGATAAAAATTGAAAGAGGAAATGAAAAAAGGAAAGGATAGCAGGACGAAAGAACAAGAAAATAAATGAGAGAAAGTAAAGAAGTTAGATAGAGTGCAAACAATGTATCCGTGAAACACTAATCATTAAAGTGTTCAAAATAGTGCTAGTTAAACAATGTGTAATAGTCAAATAGACACAAAAGAAGACAATGGAATTGGGTCTGCTAATGTGTATTGGTCTAATATCTATTTCACGGGTTTCATGACTTCACTCTAGAATTAGCATAAAATAGTGTAAGTTAGTAATACTAATATTTCACTGATATATTGTTTGCACTCTAAAATAATGATAGTGTAGTTCAGTGAGCRAAACAACTTCTCCTCATACAGTATCATAGAATTTCTTTATTATGGGGTAGCACATTTATTGATTATTTTGCATTTATACATGCTGGCAGCCGAATGCTTGATAGCATTTATGAATAATAACAGATTGCCTACTCTACAAGTAAAACTCTTTCAAAATCTACTCACTTTGGCAAAGTATGTACAGCCTTGATACAAGAAGATAGGTATTGTGATATTTTTCATTAGTGAAGTTTTAAAACTTWTCTTTAATTGTATGATATATTATTAATATTATTATCATATTTACATGTAGTTTTAATATTTTCTGTTCTGTTCATGGCTGCATCATAAAAACAAGTGGTCTTGTTGCTTTCAATAGCCTAGTACACTGTGAACAGTCCCTCTCATAAGGTCATTGTTTGGTGTTCATAATAATAATAATAATAATGTTGCTTTCAATAGCCTAGTACACTGTGAACAGTCCCTCTCATAAGGTCATTGTTTGGTGTTCACTTTGGTTGATATTATCTAGCCTTACCCCCAGGGGAGGGGACTAGGGGGATCATGGCTCACACCCAATCCTCTCTTCATCAAAGAAATATATTAAGACTGACCAAGAAAAACAGAGTCTGCTAAGCAGCCCTCTGTAATATGGCTGGTGGAGTTTTTTTTTAATGGCTAGTTTACATAACTAGCACAATTATGATAGCATTTGCCTGTCACTGTAGGCTGCTAATGAGATTGGTTTAGCTAAGTAACCTATCAGTAATGATTGATTCAGTCTGCTTAAGAATAACAAGTAAATGTCTGGTAGCTCATGATGAAAATGAGTCATTCTTGTAACTGCAAGTCCAGTAACTTTTGTTATCACAATGTCATGTGTATCTTGCATTCTCATTTTGATGATGATATATCTTATATTTCCCTATGCTAGCCTGCTAGCCTGTCCCCCTTTTCATTTTCCTCTTCCCATTTTTTCATTTTGTTGAATGATGACTTTGTCAGAGAAGGAACGGAGCAGGAGCCCTTTCATTGGCCACCTCACTGTGGTATATTATATAATAGACTATGTAAACTACCCAATCAAAAAACTAATGCCCATCCTGATATTGAGAGTATTGCTGTGGATGATGCTGAAGTGGTGGCAGTGGTTGTTGATGATGCATATTCATCATCGCTGGGTGCATTTGTTCCCCACCATGGGTCGGCTGGGGCGGGTTTTGTTGTGGTGGTAGCTGTCGTGGTGGTGGGTGCGTGGCTTGCTGTAATCGTTTGGTAAGATCGTCTATCCTAATGTCTTTAAGATGAAGCAGATGTTCTAGTCTTCTTATCTTGACTTGTAATATCTAAACACCAATCAACACATTTCATTATTATTTGTACATATATATATATTTCATCCCATTTTTATCCCACTTTTTATCCCATTTTTCCAATTTGTTCTGTGAGTTAGACACACGCTTTTTTTAAATGGCAGAAATTTTTTTGGAATTTGATAAAAATGAATTTTGATTAGATTTTTGATATATGTGAGTATTTTTTAGGATAACATTAATGGCAGAGCTCCATGAGTTATATGAGATCTCATACAAGACCAAGACTTCTCTAGACAGCCTGCCAAAGATATGTGACTATGATTATGAACAGCATTTGGTGATCACCTGAATAGTTTCTTGTGAAGCAAGAAGAGACTGTTCTTTTTCTTCAAGGTGGAGTCGTAAGGCTGTTGTATCATCATTAGATACGTCCTGGTATGACTGAGGTTTAGGAACCTTACCACTAAACAAAAGGACATTTATGAGAAGTACAAMTAACTAATTCCCATATACAAACTCTAGTGTCCTGCATGGTACCACAAACCTATTGTACAACCATGTTCTTTATTCTAATTTGTACAACTTGGGGTCTTTTGTTGTTTCTATAGACCTCTTTGGCTTGGGGTAATGTTTTCCCATTTAAGACCACGTGTCATTCCCTTGAGAATAAGATTCTTGGTTTGAGCTGTATCCATATTCATGTGTCTTCTCATGTGCAACTGAGAGCAAACCTTAAACAAAGAAATGATACTCTAGGGAATGACTTGTGGTCTGAAATGGCAAAACATTACGTCAGAGCCGAAGAGGTCTATTGAAATACGTAAACTGACCAAAGTACCCAAAGAATTAAGCAGACTTGGAGTTTGGAAATCCAGCGTTGCATGAGCAAAAGTGCACTYGACTCTAATCTCCAGAATCTTGAGTTCAATTACACGAGTAGTGACCTATGTATGAGTTAGAGCTTGTTCAAACTCAAATGCATTCCTTTTCTATTTCTTCAAATTAAATAGCCTTTTTGAAATACACGGATATCTGTTTACTACTACACATTACATGCACACACTACTTCAATGGTGAGGATGGCTTTCATATAAAATTTATACTTACCCTTTGTTTGTGGGTACTGTTGGGCGGCTTCCTTTTTCAAGGCYAGACCCTCGTTGTTTTAATTTCACATTGCTTCCCTTCATGGGTTCCTCRTTTAATATTTCACTCTGTCGGGGTCCAGACAATGGTTTAATGGGCGGCGCTCCTGGGTGACCTGTAACCTATGAATAACATTATAGAAATAAGTGGAGTAAACTACACCTCGCATAATCACAGGATGTATAGGACTCACTATTGATCATATCTTGACGAGGCACAATCGTATTACATAGGTTCGATTCCTGCTGAAATTTGAATTAAAATTTTTCTGTACCTCCTATAAGGTATTTTACTGCAACAATCAATTTATATTCTTTCATTATTTACTTCATACGTCAATACATTTACTTCAATTGACATAATATRGACTACACAAAGTATAGCTTAGTTTTTCACTCTGCTGATAAAAGATTTTGAATCTCATTTTCTGTCCCCAAYGGTGGTCAAACACTGACCACCATGTGCTGTCAACCAGAAAGAATTCTATGGATCCTTCTCAAAAGTATCATGGATGCGAGGCTAACATGGAAATGCAAAAGAAATCACAYTTTTTCTTGATGGAATTTGTGATATTTCTTTTGTATTTCCATGTTAGCCTCGCATCCAAGACAATTTCAAGAAGGTTCCACTGAAAACTTGTGATTCAGCTGATGAACATTACGCATGAGACAAGAAACAACGTCAAGTAAAACCCAGCAAAATATTCTTTGTTTCCATGTTATATCATGTCCTTGTCATTTAATTCCCTTGGAAATGCTTGCAAATAATCGATTGAGATTATATTTTCTATTTGTTTTTTAAATCCATTTGCCTTACCTCGGCTTGTGGATGTGGATATCCAGGGAATCTATTCAAATCAACTGGACCAGTATTAAAAGCATACCCATAGTTATTCTCTGGACCTAAAATTTCAACAAAGACCTTTAATTAATATTTGGTAAGACCTTCCAACTAGAGAATGGAAGGTTGTGCATCCAATTCCTATCTGCTCAAAAAAACAAAAAAAAAACAAAAACTTTTTCCACAATTATCATTAACTATATATTTATAATGAATGTTTTGAATTCAAAAATTCAAATATTTTTTGTTGTTGTAAGCTTTAGCTAAGAGAACGATTTTTACATCAGAAAATAATGACAGCACAAGACTAACTCGTACATGTACGCAGTATGTGCAGTAACAGTGAAATAATTTCCCATTGATTACATATAGATAATCCAATCACGTTGTGTTATTAATTATGGTCAAATTAATTGGCTACTATGAATTTTACAATAACAATTTCACTTGAATCAAGGGAGAGACCCAACAAGCTTTACTCACATGTGCTGCCAAGTCCAGGAATCAAAGAYCCCAGAGATGACAAATTTATGTGAGTGTACAACAGCTTTCCAGCAGCAGTTTACACATYGTAAATCAAAGAATAAAACAGAACTATTACCATTAGTAAAGTATCCTTCATTTAACATGTATGTACTGTGGTCAGTTATTGGTCCATTAGGTGAGAACTCATCATATATTTGGTCCTTGTCTCGCAGTAATTCTGCCTTCTTCTTGGCTAAAAACTTGTCAATCTAAAACCAAAATATTATTGAATGAAACACTAAATCAATTCTATACAGAGCAAGAGGAACATACTTTGCTAAAATCTGATGTGCTTAGAGTGAGGCTGTAATGGTTGCCTAAATGAATATCCTGAGGTTTCCATGGAAATGAGCTATTCAGATATTGGAAACACAAAGTATGGCATTTAAAAACAAAAATTCAAAAATGCTGAATCAATACTTTAATGCAAATACCAGTACTTTATATAGCTGTCAAGAGCTTATAGAATTTTGCAGACATTCAAACTGTAGATTGTCATGTTCACTTCAGAACAAAATTAGTTTTTTATAAACTTACCTTAATTCTTAGTACATGAAGGACTTGTTCTATGCAGCCTTGCTTGGAAAGGGTGATGGCCTTGACTGTATTATCAGGAATTGTGTAGTTTAGYTTAGAAAGTACCTTTCCTAAACAAGAAAAAGAAGGACCACTTTAGTTTTGATATAATAACTTTCATGGCTGCAATGTACTGTAAAAAAGAAAAAATTTAACATCAACAAAACAAAAATAATATGCAAAAAAATTACTTGCTTTAATTTAAGTGAAYATGATTTTTTTTTCTATATTCTTACCCAATTTAGTTACCCAAATAGTTTTTTTAGATTCAGAATAAAATTTTACATGTACAATCCTGAAAAAAATTCTTCAACTCAAAATAATGAAAAACGAGTCAGCAATTGGGTTTGGTTTCTGCTTGATTGAGTTTTACATCCCTTTAGATCCTTTCTTTTGAATATATTTGACAACAACAAACAATTMAATAGCACACATGGGAGCATTTATAAAAACACTGACGTAAGTWCATTGAATGTAAAACAAAGAGGTCAAAGTGTTTGCTGCAGGTGTTGTATTATTTTTGTAGCTTGCATAGTTACTAATATATAAGTTTTACATATAAATAATCAGGGGCGTAGCCCAGAGGGGAAGGCCCAAATTCAAAATACCTTTATTTCGTTTGAGCCCCCGAAACGTCAAACCAAAAAAACTCACATTACATTTTATTTTTACAGAACAGTGTGGTATTCCTTAACACTTAAATAGCTTCCTGTTAATTGGACATGTGATTYATCCAATCAAACTCTGCCAGTATTACTGTCATATCAAACTTCTCTCAAATAGATCAAAACAACCAAAAATCTTTTTAAAAATATCTATGAACAATCTTTATTCACTTCAATCAATTTATTGAAGTAGCAGAATATCACACAAATTGTAAAACATTACTAAACAAATTAATTTAGACAAGAAAATAATAGAATAATGAACAAGAAAAAGGTTGTAAGTGATGGATAATTCAGATAACTCCATTTTAGGGAAACTCTTGACCAACACTGAATTTAATGATTTTACAAACAAGATATTGGTTTTTGATGCCAAACAAACAAAGATGACAACCCAAATATAAATTTACTGAATACTTCATGTTGACAAATGGACAAAGTATACAAAAAAAGCCAAGAAAATRTATGAATAAATTTCTAAAAAGATACTTAGATATTGAAATACAATATTACTCACGGTTCAAGGTGCTCCAATTCGTGAGTTTCTGTGACTGAGCGTTAGCTGGTGTGTAGTTATGGAGTTCAACATTCTTGGGGAGGTAATGATGGACAATCTCTGCCACTAATACTGAAGTACAAGTATAAATGATGTTACCAACATAACAAGCTATGGAAGAATCTAAAGTTAATAACAAAACAAACAACAATCCATCAAAACAGCTGTTTTATCTAACTCTAATTCTTTCATCTTTAGGACTTAGATTCTGGATTTATGTAAGTCTTAATAAACGACGATTATTTAGATGTTTAATCAAGGTTATTTACACACATTTGATGGATAGTTTTCCCGATAGTTTTCACTTCACTTGTTACGAAATTTGATATTTCTAAACAAAAAATACGGCGATCTCTGTATACGAAGTCACAATATCTATGACAATTAATACAGAGTTCACAGGGCAAATTTTACTCACCACCGTCACTAAAATCCCTCGCTATGCTTCGCTTTGGTCGCGACAATGGGATCTCGTCAATCCAAGTGTAAAGATCTTGAAGAGCATCTTCATCTAAAGGACTGTACTGTTCGCCTGGAGATGTAACACCGCTTGTCATTCTACAGTCAACTCTTTATCTAGTCTTCGTGCTTCTCTTTTTTACTTTTTAAAGGGTGTTTAGAGGTGTTATTTCAGTATTTCTTGTGTTCAAAAGCATAGCTCTTTGTCAATCAGCCTGGAGTACTGGCCGCCATGTTGTTTAGCATGTTTGAAGGGTTGTCATGACGTCAAGTAATACCGCGCTTACTGCATCATGGGAATGATTTTATGATTTTAAAAATCATAATAAAAAATAATAAGAAACATTAAGCYACGGTAGGATCCTCTCTCTCCCGCCCTGCATTAAACCGATTATTCAACAACTGTAATAGGAGAAAAATATGAAATTGTATTTTTTTTTCGATGAAAGCGCTTTTACGCATCTCGTGTCCTTGCCTTTTGACATTTTCCCTACCCCTTCATAGCAATTATCATTTATCAAAGTTATGTATTACTAAACGATAAGCTTGAAAAACATCACTTTGGTAAAATGCTACAGTATTTCTTATAAMCTAAGAGCGTGGTTTCCCTGTGGTTCGTAAGCGCGCAGAGAATTGTGGTTATGATATCCAAGATGGCGGAAGAATATTTTCGTTGGAGGATGTGTTTTTAGTACGAAAGAATGTGTTACATTTTGGATCATTTCTCTTTGCGTTATTTAATTAATATTACTTTTCAAGCCTTTATGATATATTAGGAACAAACCACAGGAGTCTGTGGACCATGGCTTTGAATCTAAAAAATAAAAAGCACGGGAAAGACGACGACTTGGATAACAGAGATTGGCCAGACTTCGTTTGTGGTGGTGGAGCTGCTTTTACCAACATTCTAGTTACTTTTCCAGCCTACAAAGTAATGTTCAGGCAGCAGCTRGAAGGAATAGGGTTTCCTAAAGCCGTAAAGCAGGTTTTTCGCGAGGGGATTTCGAATTTRTATCGTGGTATTGGACCGCCATTAATTCAAAGAGGGACTTCATTATCGTTAATGTTTGGCTCCTATCACAARTTCCAAAGAGTTCTATCCCATACCTTTACGAACGTTAATAATGGAGTAGTCAATGCTTTTGCAGCGTTACTGTCAGGTTCAGTTGAAGCTACGTTAACTCCGTTGGAAAGGATACAAATACTTCTGTCCCACAGAGAATTCAACGAAAGATTCTCGAACACCATACATGTCTTCCAAGAAATTCGACTTAAGTATGGATATCGAGAGTATTACCGAGGATTGACTCCTGTGYTACTCAGGAATGGACCCTCTAATGTCTTGTTTTTTGGTCTCAGAGGACCGATTAAARACATACTTCCAGAATCTTCCACAGATGTGGGAAATATGACCAATGATTTTGTAAGCGGAGCAGTCCTAGGCGCTGCACTTAGCACTCTGTTTTACCCTATTAATGTCGTGAAGAATCAAATGCAGAAACAAATTGGAGGAGAATTTACTGGTGTCGTAAAGACTTTTAGGAAAGTGTTCAATGAGAGAGGAAGGAGTATACGAAGACTGTACTATGGATTGCCTTTGAATTTTACAAGAGCTCTTGTATCCTGGGGAATTATTAATTGTACTTATGAAGAGTTGAAGAAATTAATGACTCTGTATTACTAAAAAATTGTATTTTTGTAAATAGTCATAGCTATAGTTATTACAATTATCTATTAATTAATTATTTACTAGGTGGGGGTTCTTATGCTTCCCTTCTCAGTTGAATTTGGTGAGACAGAGGTTTTCTTATGAAGCTTTGTCAGTGAAATGTGCATGGTGTCARGGGCAACGTCAAAAGCGTTCAATAGGAAGCAAGCTGACGTCACTGGCATTAAAGTATATTATACATATTCTTATTACCATAGTATCAGTGATGTTGTCCTTCACAACATACACGTTTCGCCAACAAAACTTTGTGACAAAACTTCTGGGGGGGGGGCTCAACAGACAGTTTTGAAAATGACCCTAAAAGGTATGCATAAACTTAAGTCACTCCAAACTCAACTGAGAATCTTATATCTTATTCCCCTTGTGATTGAGTGGAACGATTATTGCATTCATAAAACAGATATGCTGTGTGATAATTGCTGATAGAGCTRTGGAGAAATGCCAATGGCTTTTTTATACAAAAAAAGAAAAAAATCTAAATCTAAAAATCTATAAAATTGTGGCTCAAAATGTTTTAATATCAAATACTGTATTTACTTRCTTAAGTGCCACAGCAAGTTGGGTTTCAAATGCAGCCTTAATTTGGGAGTGGCATTTATCAGAGGGCAGCGGTCGCTTAAAAAATGTGTTTCCTATATACTAACCAATGATTTAATACAAAGTGAATACAAAAGTTTTTGAAACATAAAAAAAAATACCGTATTTACTGTATTTTGTTCAAGTCTTAGGCGTGGCACTTAAACGAGTAAACACAGTTTCAATGAATCTACCACAGCTGCTGTCAATCAGGTTTGACAAATGAGACATTAAGTTTAAAATTGGAAAAAAATTATGATGCTAATYAAAAGTATGCATGCAAAAATGCAGACCAAAATGAGCATCAAAACTGATTGATTTAYATATTTTGCACGATTGCACAAGTTGTTATTCAATTTTGACTTTAGAAAGAAATTTTCTAAGTTAAATAAATATATTTAGACTCATAAGCTTTGCAACATTTTATTTGTTCAATGTCATAAATTCACAAAGTTTATTTATTCATCCCACATAATAGTTCAGTATTCTTCTTGATGCCTTATTAGCATTAATGTAGGTGTAGCCTTTCTGTCRATAAGCCATGAGGGAGTAGCATGGGGTGCCAATAAACCAGCAAGAAGTAGGGGTGAGAGGATTGGTGTGACTTTTCCCCTCTGCATCCCATTTAGCCTGCGTGCAGCCGAACTAACTAACTGTTAAGTCCGGCTGCACTCAGGCTACATCCCATTGCAAACTGACACTCTTACCTAATTAGTTTGATCTCATATTATGATAATGAAGTCATTACAAGGGATTAATAATGAATGTCAGGTTAGAACATCTAGTTTTAGCTAGCTCCAAAATAAGCTTTAAAACAAACCCATATCCAGCAAATTCACATACAATGCTTGATAAATTTCTTAATTTTTGTTGCATTTTGAGTGGGACTTAGTGACTTTTAATCCTCATTAATGTGTAAACTTGTATTAACAGTATAAACATGCAATTTGTGGAAAGTTACAATGTACATTAGAAATATCCCAAATAGTATTGTGTAGTTCCAGAAATCATCCATACCCACCCCACAGAGGAATTTGGAATTTCTGAAAAGTAGGGGGGTACAGAGAAAGAACAAAAATTACAGAGTTTGTAAGGAAGAAAATTGGAATTTCCAGGGGTTGGGAGGGTYTTAAAAAAACCTCTGTAAAGGAGGTATGGATAATTTCTGGAACTACACATGAATATTTTGTAACATTTTTTAAAATTTGTAATTCTTTTTAATTTGACATTCTGAATATAAGTACCTGTAATGTTTAATTATTTTAAGTTAATAAAAAGACATGCACTTGTACCTTGTAATATATAACTTTGCGAATTTATGAACTATAATGAATAATTATTTATTAATTGGTAAATTTGAAATATTGCTTATATAATATTATTTATTTAATAAGATAATGAAGTGCACTACACATCAAAACATACCTTCCTAGAATACTAAGTAATAGAACAGCTTTACTATCAGTGAGCAATGATGGGATAAATTCCTAGACCTATACTTAACATAATATTATTTTAGTATCCGCATTTACTTTTTGTGATATTGGAAAATTTATTGGAAGCCATTTTAGTGTTTTGTCATGTTTTCTACTTATCAAAAGCATTTTTATGGGAACCCATTTCAATGTTACCAAGTCATACCTCGTTAGTACCGTAC